ATATGCTCCCTGGATCAATGAGTACACACTCAATGGTGAATCGGTTTACGCGTAACTCAATTGCCAAGGGATCGATGTGGGGAAGTGTCATTCTGGCCAAATCTGAATCATCAAAAGCAATGCTCGCAGCTTCATGGAGCCGTTTTGCCAGAGTGAGTTGATTTTGAGGGTCGGGATTCGACTGAATCGTATGCACCGTGGATGACATTAGCAGGCTGTATATTATGTGGATTACGCCGAGTGGAGGGGAATCCTGTCTTAAGGTTATTGCTTTGGTTGAGTTATCTTTTCGGACGTACTGTTGTAGCCTACCATCTTGTACTAATTCCTCCAGGTGATCCTTCAATGCATAACAACTCTCAGTATCATGGCCATGGTCCTTGTGATACTCGCACCGTCTATCCCGTCTTCTCGTGTCAGGAGGTTCTACCATTTTGGACGGCCATTTGAAGAACGGAAAGTGTTGGACTTTGGACATGACCGTGCTGATCGGCTCTGTCAACTCAGTATATTTCTTGTCGGCGCGCCCTGTGCGCCTGCTATTAACTTGCAGTTGTTCATTTGCTCGGTGGGAGCATTGGTCGCTTGATCGGCGAGAATCCCGTCTCTTGTCTCGTTTAGCCCGATGCCGTGGTTCAAGGCTCTGAGGTTGTACAGAATTTAACGACTGAGCAATTTCAGAAGGGTCTGTCTTATTGGCCACGCTTCCGGCTTTAACCCGCAAGGCATCATTCTCCACTTTGCAGTATTCCTCAACTTTCTTCATCAACGACCAGACTGTTTTGGAGGGTCTTCTAGTCAAGGAGCTGCGGAGAGCACTGTCAGGATGCAAACCCATTTTGAAAGCAGTGATGGCCATGGAGTCGTTGCAAGCGTCATCAATAAGATTAAAGCACTCCCAATAGCGCCGAATACGCTCTTAGTGTTTCTTCCAGCTAGATCTGTATTGCCCAGAGAGAATCGGCTTGTTTTGGTTGGACCTCGTTGGTGATGAATCTGGCCCTGAAGGATTTCTGTAATTGATGGAAGCTTTTGATCGAAGCTGGCTCCAATTTATAATACCACCTGACAGCCAATGGTCCCAAATTGCTGGGGAATATTCGGTACATGAGGGCCTCGTCTTCCGCATGCAATGTCATGGCTTATTTGTAGTGACGGATGTGATCGGTGGGGCCTGATTTTCCATCATAGAGAGTGAACGATGGAGCTTTGAACTTTTTGGGTAGAACCGCCCTTGCGATTCGTCGCACAAAGGGATCATGCTGGTCTTCTTCGTCTGAACTGTTTCTTCTTCGCTTATGCCTTATACGTGGACACTCGTCAGAGGAACTAGAAGTTTCAAGTCATCCCTTCTTCTTGGGCTCCGAGGATAATGAGTCGGAGTCACTATCAGTGTCTTGTTGTCGGGCTCGAGGTTGTTGACCACTTACCCTCAGAGGTCATTTCGGATCTTGGCATACAGCTTGTTTGGACTTCGCCACTTCCAAGGCCAAATCCTGACGGAGACGTTCATTCTCAGCGATCATGTTCTCCAACCTCTGTTCGTTTTGCTTTGCTTGTTCCATGATTGCTTGCATTGTCTCATGCTCTAAAGTCGAGGGTGAGGCGAAGTTCAAAGCGCGTCTTGCGGCGATAGTCTCCGGTCCAAGCATGTTTGTTAGAGTGAGGTCATCTCTCTGTGTGGTTTCGTCAGTGACTATCGGAGGGTCTTTCGTTACGCCCGCCATGGATGTTTTTGAGTATTCCCACAGACGGCGCTAGTTGTAGGGAAGTGGTTTGGAAATACTCTTTTGATCATGGGGGACGCTCGTGATCCTCAGTTAGTCACCTGAAAAGGAATAATAACCTAAAAAGGAATAAACACTCCGGTCGGGGGTGCCGGAATTAGTACTTTGACGGGCAAATCAGTCTCTACTCTCTAGATTACTTGTATTTTAAGTTAAGCATAATGATTCTCACATACCTCTTTCTGGCTGATGTTCTTCTATCTATATCTTTTCTTTCTTGGGCCTTGGGATTGGGCCCACTTTCAATTCGCCATTCGACTTCTTTCATAGCAAACTGATTTTCACTCGGCCCCTTGCTCAACCGGCTATTTGGCCGAATAGGGTAGGATTTGAACGTGCGAGACGGGGATGAATGCTATATATATTTGGACTCTCCAAGTTCAACTATTCGGCCTCTTCACGACTCCCAATATTTGGCCCCCACAGACTCTGAGCACTCACTTTTCTCAGCACTCTCACCTCTCTCACCTGTCTCTCTACTCATCCCTCTTATTCAATAAATCTCTTTCAAGAACTTCCGATTTGTCTCTGGTCGCGGAAGAAGTATGAACGACGACGACGACGAAACAAGACGGACGACGACGACGACGGACGACGAATAACGACGAAGAATGAATGACAACAAAGCAAGGCGAACGACGACAGAGGACGAATGATAACCTACGACAACGAATCTGAGGTAAACCTGAAATCACAAAGTTAGGGTTTATATTTGGCTTCAATTTTTGTAAAAATTAGTTGTTTAGGACTGTTTGGGTTTGGATTTTGCTTGCAATTTGTGTTAGGGTTTGGGATTTGGCTTTAATTTGTGATGTGTTAGGGTTTGGGATTTGTCCTTTAATATGTTATCCTCTGTATACATCTATTTGGTTTTGCTTGAAATACACATCTGTGTGGTAAAATACACATATGCTTTCAGATTTGCTTTAATTGGTTTTGGCTTTAATTTGGTTGTGCTTGAATAATTATCCAACTAATACATCTGTTTGATGATAAAATACACATGGGTTTGGTTTCTGTCTTCAAATATGTGTTGAAATCTGGCTTGAAATTTGTAAATTTGTTATAATAAGTTATAAATTTGCTTTGAAATCTGTTAGAATTCTGCTTGAATAGTTATCCAATTAATACATTTGTTTGATGGTAAAATATACATGTGTTTGGTTTCAAGTTCATACATCTGTGTGCAGATTTGCTTGAAATATGTAAAATTATAAACAATAAAATCTGTCTTAAAATTATAAACAATCAAATCTGTTTTTAAATATGTGTTGAAATCTGGTTTGAAATTTGTAAATCTGTTAATAAGTTATAAATCTATATTGAAATCTATTAGAAATCTTTAAATCTGTTACAAAGTTGTTATAAATTTGTTATATAAATCTGTAAATGTGTTGAAATCTGATCTGAAATATGTAAATCTGATTTGAAATCTGTGTTGAAAATTAACTGTTGTTGGCTACTTCATGGGGCAACTGATGGCTTCTTCTTCTACTAATAATAACAGATTACAGAACTATGGCTTCTTCTACTACTAATAATAGTAACATAAAATTAAAACCAAGATTGTGTGATTGTGGGAGAACTGCGGCGATGTATAGTGTACGCACGAATGACAACGAAACCAAGGACGTTTGTTCTTTGTTTGCTCGTTGAAATATGTAAGTATCGATTATAGAATTTCATGTTTGATTGTGTACAAAGTTATTTATGTGATTTGATTAACTAATTCTTGTGCATTGTAGAGTCATAAGGAGGACTGTAATTATTTCAAATTCGCAGATGAGGATGATGACGACAGTAGTCCACAATCCGTTCCAATGTTGGACCTTGGAAAGCTATAAGAACAGAAGAATTAAACAATATAAGGGCAAAGCTTTGTGAGATGGACAATGAAATTCTGCAGCATGGTACAATGCTTAAAAGGATGGAGAAAAACTTCAAAATTATGATAATGTCATTATTTTTTGTGTCTTTTTACACTTTATCATGTAAATCTCAAAGTCTCTAACGTTCTGACGAATTTTATGAATGTAATCATAAATTTTTTTGTATTTTGTATCTTTTTGTACTTAATGATGTAAACGACTGAGTTGATAGATTTTGGAAATTTTCATGAATACTTAATGATGTAAACTGCTTTGTGTTGTGTATGTGGATGAGTTTGGTCATGCAAAATATACCTCAGGTGCCCTTGCTCATGCAAAATATACCACAAAATATAAATATAAACTTACCATGCAGAAGAATTACTACTGATTTTGCTTTTAACATGTATGGAATCTGCTTCAAAACCAATGTATTAGGACAAACCCATGTTTTTCTTTCGAGTACTGAATCAGCTAAGACAATCCTAAACAATAACTCAGGAAGATTCCCAAAGACATTAATTAAGTCAATGGCAAAGATAATGGGGCGAGAAAGCGTGTCAGTGCCCCTAAACAACACAAGCTGATCCGCAACCATCTTGTGTCAAAACATCTACACCTTCCATATCTGTCAAATTTCAGCAACAATTTAAGAAGTCTCGTTGAAACTTAAGAAGTCCTATTCAAATTTCAACAGTAATCTACAACAATTGTTTATAACAACCCTGCACACAAATAGAATCCAAATTAAAGGACTTCAAAAATAATAACCTGTCAGATTGTTTTGAAACTTAAGAAGTCCCATTCAAATTTCAACAGCAATCTACGACAATTGTCTATAACAACCATGCACACAAATAGAATCCAAATTAAAGGACTTCAAAAATAATAACCTGTCAGATTGTTCAACCCATATACCAAAACCAAATGCCAAATGGGACCAAATAACATGAAAAATAACATTCTAAAGGAGGCAGCAGTATCAAATCTTCATACAAAGGAGGCAGCATTATCAAATCTTTAGCAAATCACAAATTTAGCAAACAACTATTCAAATATTCTTACAAATAAGGCAGCACTCTCAGAATTCATACAAGTTTAGCAAACTACAAATTATAAATCTTCCACGATTAACCAAAAACACAAAGGGCCAAAAATGGCCAACAATTACTAGTGCAAAGCTAAAAATTAAATGGGCATTTGGATCCGCATCTATATGCAAGTCAACAAATTTTGATGGTACTGTAGAACTTTGACTGCTTATATTGTTGACCATTCCTGATGTGCTTCTAATATTGTCCGGCGTTTCCATTGTGCTAACCAGTGCTTATAAAAACAAAGTACATATTACAAATATTGTTCAAAAAAATATTGACCAATAAAAAATTTAATTCATCATTAAAATATGTGTACTCATATATTGAACACGTACCGGTACATACATACAATCTTGTGTGCCTACCATAGAAGAAAAATAGTAAAGTTGTTCTTGTAGCACTTTATCATTATATAGTAAGACAATGTTATTAATAATTTGAAGCATTAAAAAAAACCTAACAACAAACAAAGTGCAATGCATTAAGTTCATTCAACATATACTGATACATACATACTGTCTTGTGTGCCAACCATAGAAGGAAAATAGTAAGGCTAATCTTGCGGCACCTATCATCAAATAGTAACACAATTTCGTTACTAATTTCAATCATTAAACTATAAATCCACAAAAACCTTACGAAACAACCTACGCCAACATTTACCTGTGCGGGAGTAGTCTTCTTATTCTTTCTCTTCAACCGATTCACTATTTGATCAACCTTACTAACCTTCCACTTCGTACATGGACGGCCTCTTCGGCGAGCAACCAAAGGACTGAGTACCTTGCGAGTGTTGCTTGCTTTTGTAGTATTGAGACCAGGCGGACTTTTCGATAAAGTATGGGAAGGCGGTACAATACTAATAGAAAGTGGTACAGTACTCGTACATGACACATTACTCGAAGTACCCGATTCAATTGTTCTCACTCGATCCTTGATTTCCCTCAACCCAAGTTGAATCACTTTGTATTTACCATTATCATTGGTGGCAAGTTCTAGGATCTCATCCAACCTCTTGTGATAGGAATCATGCAACTTTGGATTCATAGCAGCCCCGAAATTAGTATATGTGGTTGGAATGCATGTATACCCTCTTTCCAAATCTTTTCTCCATCTCGAAACAATGTATTTATTTGGCACCTCATGTATGAACCTCTCAATGAGCACACTAAGTGAATGGGCGCACATAATACCTCTAAACTCAAACAACCAACACATACATTGGAGCTCACATTCAATTGAATTACAGTACACAATAAATTCTACTTTCTTCATACCCTCACCTAGAAGAGTAGCCTCCCTCACATGATAGGTACAAATTGATCCTTCATCTTTCGCAAGATTTGGACGACAGTACACTAGACGCTTCATTTCTACTTGAACTTCTTTAAATTTTGCATTTGTGTACACTGCACAAAATTGCTTCTTAAAATGATACACTATTAAGCAATCATACAATTGGTTACAAGATTTGAAATTTGCTTTTGTCTCATTTTCTACCTTACTTTTCAAGGTATTGTCATATTGCTTAACAAATTGCTTTAAGGTAGTCTTCGAGTTCACATATCCATCAAAAAATGCATTCATGCTCTCACTTCTACCGGTAGTTGACATGCCAGCCCAAAATATATCTTTAACATAGATAGGAATCCACTTATGTCGCTTACGGTATAATACCATCAACCACTCGTTATCATTCAGATTGAATTTTGCAACCATTGCAAGTCAATTTTCCTAAAATTCATCTTTTGTAAATGAATCATAAACTGCATTTTGCAAAGCAACCTTTATGCTTTCATATTGTGAATATCCTCTTAGTTTCTCCGGAATTTTCTTCATTACATGCCATAAGCACCAACGATGTCAAGCCTGTGAGGAGGCAATTTCTATGGCATTTTGCATAGCTCTACACTGGTCAGTTATTATAACTTTTGGAGGAGTATCTGACATGCAACTTAACCATTCTTTGAACAGCCAAACAAATGTCTCAGTGTTCTCATTAGATAATAACCCACAACCAAACAAAATTGACTGTCTATGGTGATTAACTCCTACAAACGGAGCAAACGACATATCATATTTGTTTGTCAAATAGGTTGTGTCAAATGAGACAGCATCCCCAAATGCTTTATAAGCTGCCTTACTCCTTGCATCTGCCCAAAACAAGTTTCACATGCGACCATCTTCATCAAGGTTAATTGCCGAATAGAAGTTCAAATTTAGTTGTTGCATTTTATGGAAATAAAGTGTAACTGATTCGGCGTCTCCTAGCCAAAGTCTCAATCTTCTAGCATTTTTGCATCTCATTCATCAAACGTTAATGCCTCATATCCCCCTGCTTCAACAACTATGGAATGAAAATTCCTCGCCACCCCAATCCCTACTGCATCGTTCACTTCTAGTCTCCTCTTTACCGGAGTAAGAATCCTCTTATTCATTGCAAAATGTCGTAAGTCAATAGGAATCAAATCATGAGTGTGCTCAAGGACAACTGTGGTTAACTTATATCTTCCATCGTTTTGTAGACTGGCTCTTACCCTTGCTTTACATCAATTTTTTATGACAAAGATGGTTCCAAGGGATTTACTTCTGATCTTTTTGTTCTAATCTACACCCGAGTACATTTAATTCCAAAGTACTTCACTTCCCCATCACTTGGTAGATTTTGTGATCTAAAAGCTATAGCAAATCCACCTTGTTTCGCATATTTTGCATAAAATGCATACACTTCTTGTTTTGAGGTAAAATACATCCCCTTCTTAGATTCTTCAACTTCACCATTTTCGTTAAATGAAAGATTGTTATCCTGTTCTTCAACTTCCTCACTCCCATTCAATGAATTATTGTTTGAATCAATATCCATTGTAGCTTCAACGTTAAATAGAATAGACATGGTTAGCTGCAATTTCAAAGCAAATAGAAATGGTATGGGGTAATAGCTACCAGCCACATTTATAAATCTAAATTGTGAATGATTTGAGTAATGAACAAATTATATTCTTCAAAGATGAATCACAACAATGATGTTAATAATAGTAGAGAATGAATTTGAAACAAAGACTCAAGCAAGGGTAGCCATGCCATGGATGAACAGCCACATCTCAATCTGCTAATTTTTCACATTCATCTTAACAATAATCTTATTTTCACAATCATCTTAAGAATAATCTTATGATAGACCAATCTTACTTTCTTAGCCACATCTCAATTTGCAATACCAAATAACGCTATTAATATCAGCTCAGGGAAAGTGCAGATATACATACACATGTATACCAAAAAAAAAAAAAAAAATTGATGTCAAAAAAAAATATATTACTAGTACATAAAAAAATAGAATAAGATTTTTTTGAAAAAGATGTTATAGTCTTTTCTTTTCTATTTTTGGATAAGCATGATTATAATCTTATGTACAGGACATACATGCTAACAGTGAGGAAAATAGCAACTATTACGGCATTATAAATTAACAAAGATTCAAGATACATGTATCTTCCTTTTAGGCTTTCATGACATAAGAAACCCAGTGTAGTGAATTATTGGATGCAACAAGACTACTAGTTTGTTACAGTTTCTACACTCTGAGATTACTATTTTCCTAATACTTGCCAACACATTCTAGGCACACCCTAACTGTGTAAAAATGATCTAGTCAAACCTCCATTGGCTACTAAATTCAATCAATGCCACGTGTCAGATAACCCACGCCAGGAAGCCCAAACAACTTCCATAGAATACATTACTTGGCACTAGTTTTCTAGAAGAATGTTTAATTTCTACAATTACACATGGTAGGCACATTGAAACTTAGCTAGCAGCCATGATAGTTTACTTACTTAGTTTGATCAAGCTAATAGTTTACTTAATTGGCAAAAATGAGGTACAGTTTAATTTGGGTCTACTTAACCAAAAATGAGATACAATTCTAACCAGCCACAGTGAAACTTAGCTAGCAGCCATGGCAGTTTACTTAATTAGTTTTATCAAGCTAATAGTTTACTTAATTGGCAAAAATGAGGTACAGTTTAATTTGGGTCTACTCAACCAAAAATGAGATACAATTCTAACTTGGAAAACATATTGCTTGGTTTTGTGTTCTTTTTCTGTTAAATTATTACTATTGTTATTATTATTATAAATATTCTATTCTATTATAAGTCCTTTTTAACTTGTATCTAACCAATATGCATAGGCAACCAGAGCATGTTATAACATTCTTGTTGGCTGAAATGGGGACGAGTGGATCACTTGATGGACAGCAAAATAATTTTATTTTCACAATCATCTTACGAATAATCTTATGATAGAGCAATGGAAAAGCAGCCATGGCAGCCACATTGAAATTTAGCTACCAGCCATAGCAGCCACAATGACAGAGCAATGGAAAAGGAATGACACAAAGGGAAATAAAACGTCAAGAGGAAATACCTTATCCACAACTCAATGAAGACTCCGATTGTTCTGCAGCACACAAACTTCCTCATCTCCCACTCCGATCAAACAACAGTAGCGACGGCACAAAGAGACGATTCCGTTAGGTTACGAACAGACCGGTTCCCAAGTTAGTGAAGATTCCGATTGCTCTGCAGCATACAAACTTCCTTCTCTCCCACTCCGATCAAATAGCAGCAGTAATGACCAGACAGCTCCGCTAGGTTACGACGAGACTGTGTTTCTCTCTCTCTCCTCTTTGTTCTGTTCTTTTTTTTTCTTTTTCTTTTTTTGAAATGAAATGAATTGTGGGTGTATCGAGCGTATACAGTAGCAGCAAGTTCAGTACAAACATAAATTCGAGCCACTCAAGCCATCATCTTTTGAGCTACGTAACGGAACCGTATAATCAAATGTGAGTCTATATAAGATTGGTCTTTTGTGTAGGGAGTCGTTATTTCTACTCTATTTTGTTTAAAATATACTCTCTCTCTCTCTCTCTCTCTCTCTCTCTTTTTGTCTTTATTATACGTAGAAGAAAGTGTATTTGGAGCAAATAAAGTGAGTGTAGTAACTATGTATAATAAGAATAAAGAAAAGAGTGTATTTAGAGTAAAATGAATCCCTTTGTGCAAAGGAATAATTTTATTATTACCTTATCCAATCATGTAATGCCACGTGTTCTACTATTATCAATTATAAAAGTTTAAAAAATGCTAGAGATCCTAAAAGTTCTATCAAAATTTATACCAAATGTCTCACATTGGTGTGGGATCCACACATGTGGATCCCACACTCAAGTGAGACATTTAGGCCTCGTTTAGCAGCATCACTTTTTAGCCAAAAAGTAAAAAAGTCACTAAAAAAAATCAAAAAGCCAACAACTTATACTAAAAAGTCAAAGATTTCATTTTCTCTCTACTTTTTGCACATCTTTTCTTAAAAAATCAAAAAGTCATCCCAAATATACTAGTTTTTTTTACATCATATTTTAGCCAAAAAATCAAAAAGTTACTAAAAAAACATGTTCCCAAATGAGATCTTAGTAGAAATTTTGAAATATCTAGCATTACTCATATAAATTCACATTCTCCATGATTGGACAATTGTAGGTGGAGGGTACCATCTAAACATGCCATTAGGCTTATTTTGGGAAGTAAGTTAAACATTAATTTTTTAATTTTTTTTTTAATTTTTTTTTTCAAAAATATGTAAAAAAAAATAGAGAGATAATATGACGTAAAAAAAATAAAAAAAATAAAAAACAATACATTTAACCTCTTTGTTAAAAGAGGCCTGTTGTTGGCTTGTCTTGGACAGGTAAGTATTATAATCCTGACCGATTAAATGAGTATCTAGACTGTAAGAGTTTGTTTGACATTATTTAAATAAGTATACTTAGTGGGTGTTTGGAAAGTTGCTATTTTAATAGGTTATTTTAGAAAGTTGCTATTTTGTGTTTGGGAAGATGATTAGATTTTTTTGTAGTTGGATGTGATGTTTGTGACAAAAAAAGTGAAATGATTATGGATTTAATGTGACATTTTGTCTTATTAGTTATTTTAGCCTATTTTGTCTTTTTGTGGATTTTACCCCAAATGAGGCTAAAATCTCACTTCCCAAACAGCCCCATATAGTCTTCTTGAACTTTTTTTTTATAATCAATTTCATATTTTTATGACTTTGAATTTTTTTGAAGTTGGAAGAGAATTTAAACTACTCCCTTGAAATGACCTATTTTTAGGAAATGCCTTTCTTGTATCTTTTTATTTTTATTTTTCTCCTATTCAAGAATAAAAAAATACTTTTCAAAGATGATACCAAATGGGCTCTAAATTCTTATTAGTGCAAAAGGGGAAATATAATGATCATCCCATACTTTAGTAATCTGTCAAAAGGCTTTAAAAAGGTGATTATATGCTCCAATGAGGTTCAAAATGGTAAAAAAAATAATTTCCTCAAAAAAAGTTAAACGAAAGGGAACTGACGTAAAAAAAAAAAAAACAATACTTTTAACCTCTTTGTTAAAAGAGGCCTGTTGTTGGCTTGTCTTGGACAGGTAAGTATTATAATCCTAACCGATTAAATGAGTATCTAGACTGTAAGAGTTTGTTTGACATTATTTAAATAAGTATACTTAGTGGGTGTTTGGAAAGTTGCTATTTTAATAGGTTATTTTAGTTTTTGGCTATTTTAGAAGATTAAAATTTTTATATTTGGGAAGGTAGTTGATTTTTTTGTAATTGGATGTGATGTTTGTGAGAGAAAAAGTGAAATGATTATGGGTTTGATGTGACATTTTGTCTTATTAGCTATTTTAGTCTATTTTATCGTTTAGTACTATTTTAGCCAAAAAAGCTAAAAAAGCTTCTTCCTAAACAGAGTGTATTTATTTGAATCATATTATTTTTTTAATTTTTTGTATTTTTTTTAATAAAAAGTTAAAAAGTACATTTATTTATATCATAAACAATTTTTGTACTATCTTTTTTACTAAGGCTTTGTCACGACACAAATCCGCCCCTATAAGTTTAGCATCGTAACCGGTTAGTAATCCCTGGATTACCCAAGGCCTCTGAACAAAATAACACATAATTAGGGGTTATGAAAGCAAATATATAAATATACGTAATCCATTAAGCTGTGCTAACATACATGGGACAGAAATTGAAAACTTGTATAAAATATATACATATATGATGTCATATCCACATAAGTCTTGTAACACCGTACAAGGTGTGCGGATGAACAAAAACAAAACTAAACGTAAACGTTCTTAACATGATACACAAAACAAACTCTTAACATGGTCCACAAAACTTGACTTCTATAAACAGCAACCTCTCCAGGAGGAACGGTGATTGGCTAACTCCAAAACTCCCCAGGCAGCAACTTAGGCCTGGTCACTCACCTGCTCACCTATATACATAATATAAACAATGAGTGGAAGCCCAATGAATGATAACAAAGTAAAGGGTTACATGAATGATATCCCAACTAATTCAGAAAATATAAACAAATTCATATTCATAATCTTGTTTGAATCGCATACAGAAATTGGCATTCATGTTTGTTCATATATGGTACATCTATTAATGCTAACAGATCAAATATAGAGCATTAAGGGTCATACTTGTCAGTTCCATAAAGGAACCTCTGGTACTAAGAACAGATAACATACTTGCCAGTTTCATAAAAGAACTTTCAGTACTAGGAACAGATAACATACTTGCCAGTTCCACAAAAGAACCTCCAGTACTGGAAACATATAACATACTTGCCAGTTCCATAAAGGAACCTCCAGTACTGGGAACAAATAACATACTTGCTAGTTCCACAAAAGAACCTCCAGTACTGGAAACAGATAACATACTTGCCAGTTCCATAAAGGAACATCCAGTACTGGGAACAGATAACATGCTTGCCAATTCCACAAAAGAACCTCCAGTACTGGGAACAAAAAACATACTTGCCAGTTCCACAAAGGAACCTTTAGTATCGGGAACATATCATAAACTTGAACCACGGAATTATTGTCACGAGTGCTTGTTAGAACTGGACAATCATTCATTGTACAGAACATAACATTTCATAAAACAGATCTTATTCCACATACAAAAAACAAATAAAGTTGAACATAACTTTACTAAGTTATTACTCACTAATGGCTCCAAAGTTGGCAGACCAAGCAGGCAAATGAAATAGCTCACGGCATGTGACCTACACAAACATAACAGATACATACTTGAAACACACACCCAAATAATCCTTAACTTAGTTCTTTCTTCTATAGGTGTGTTTCTACTTCTTATCCTCATTATTTTGTCTTAATCTAGGGCTTAAGAATGCCTAGAATGCAATGAGAATGCCAAAACATGCTATTCAACACTTAGATAAATATGTTGAAAACAGGGTCCTCGCTTAAGTGCAGCTTCTTTCGCTCGAGTGGAGGTCCAAAAATATGAGTGGTTGCTCGAGCGGTCTGTAAACTCTGCAAAAGTACTGGTTGTGTGAATTTTTCACTCGATGGCTACTTAATGGTTGTTCGAGCGTGCCACTGAGGTCTTCACTCGAACGCAACTCTTGTCGCTCAAGCGATCTGCAAAATGTGTCAACTTCTAGGAGCATGCATTTTATGCTCGAACCAACTTTTGGTCGCTCGAGCGGAAGTGCAAAATCACAGAGTGATCGTTCTAGCGCAGATTCTGTCGCTCGAGCGGAGAGACAAAATTCTTGAATTTCCATATTGTTCTCCCAAGCTCAAAACTCAATTTTAATGTTGGAATTCATGTTCTATTGGGCCAAAAACTTAAGGAAACTTATGTAAACTTGGAAAACTTTGTGAATTTAAGATCATTTTGCAAAATCAAGGTTCAAGAGCATGTGAATTGTGCAAAATTCAAACTCAAAACTTTGAAACATAACATGCATGGGTTGATATAAACTTCAACCTCCCAAACAAGATCAACAAAGCAAAATGGTATGAAACTTGATGAATTCCAAAACTATGCCTTGATCAATGCATGCATGTAAGAATTCTTCAAAATCAAACTCTAAATGTAAGAGGATGTGTATGCATGTATGACTATCATCCTAACTCATCATTCATAGTTCAATTCTTGCATCTCATAGGTTAATTTCCTTGAATTCATGCATTAACCAACTAAGTCACAACACGAGGGCTTGAATTCTTACCCAGGCTTTCCAATTTAAGCTCGAAAGGCTAAATTCTTGAGTCTCTAGGTTCAATCATTCAATCTCCTAGCAAGTCCCTTACCTTGAGTTCAATTCCTCTCCAATTTGACTCTAATCTCACTCTTCTCACTCTCTCTCACGTTTAAAGCTTCAAAATGAAGAATTGGGTGTGCAAAAATGAACTAGTGGAGTCAAATGGGCCTTATATATGCTTCATGAAATTGACTTAATTAATCTTGGCTTAAACTAAGTAAATGGGTATTAATTATTTTAATTAATTCGTTTTGAATCGAATTTTAATTAAATCTATCATAAAATTTCAGAAATTCCAAATAACACATAACCTAAGTTAATTCCATGATCGGACGCCGATAAGGCCTTCAATACGCATAACAAAATCGAAACACAAACAGATATTCTTACAGCAAATAGATATCAACTCAACTAATGCAATGCACATGTAATTAACTCAGGATTCTATCTTAATTACTTATTGGGCATACTTAATCCAGACTTAACAGTTAATCATGAGTCAGGATTGTTACAGACTTCTTTTGGGTACACAAAAAAAATGCAACTTGTTGATTTATTGACTTATTTGAGTCATATTACATCTTTACTTTTTTAGACGTCTTTTCATAATAAACAAAAAAATTAATTTA